GGGTCTCATCAGCACGCTGTCTGGGGAGGGCCCTTGACTGTTGTTACAATATTGCCATCGTTGTTACCAGCCAAGCAGCAATCGTACAGTAACTGCGTACTTACAAATGACACTTGTACACTTTCTAGAGTTGTTCAGGAAAAATCCACACCTGGGCTTTGTCATCTTTGGCCTGATCCCAATCCTTAGGCTCTGCTGAAGACTTTTCCATTTTCTTAAGTGACGTTAAGTGCCAGTCATACTCTATGCTGCCGGATTCAATGGCTTGACCATCGATTTTCACTTCATAAGTAAGATCTGGTCTTAAAATCAGACTGTAGAGATGTGTGAAGCTATCAACCTGCATGTATTAGGGGGACAGGGGGTAACAATGAAACCCTTAATGTTCCCACGCAGGTCCCAACATGCAGCTTAAAACAGCCATCAGTTAAGCCTTGTATAAGCAGCAAGAAGACAGAAGGGAGGAACACCGGCCAATGTAACCACAAAAGGGTATCCTACAGAATAGTCACCCTCTTGAGCAGTACTTCCTCACTTTTCTAACAGCCTTGAGTGTCTGATCCCCTCTGTACAAAGACAAATTCTCCCTCCCATCTGTAAACCCACAGGCAATTATGACCAGAAGGGGCCACTGTGCTGTTTGATTTATGAAGAGTTATGTGAAAAACACCTCTCTCTTCTATATTCTGAAAGATACCAAAGGAAGTCCACTCTCATTTGTTTCTCACTAGATAGAAGAACTTTCTAATGCTTCAAGGTATCTATCAAGGTAAGCTCTTTGAGGGCAGGCCAGGTACTTCCCAGGCCCTGGACAAGTGAAGCATTCAACAAATATCCAATAAAGGAGGGAGGGGGGGTTGCCTGGGGAGGCAGGGGTCCCCGGGACAGGCCTGCCTGTCAGCAGCAGAGGGGACTCCTGCACCATACTCCAGCAGTGTTTCTCGAAGTGCAGCCCTGGCCCAGTGGNTGCCCAGCGCTCTCTGTTTCCTCTGTCCCTTGGGACTGGGTCTCGTCTCCATCTCCCTGAGCACATCTTCCTCACTGCTGTGTTTCCAGACCTCTTTCAGATGGCAGACTGGTGATCTGACAATCATGATACTCTTTGAAAAAATGTTATGTTTTGAGTCCTTTAAAAGAAGCCAGAGTTTACTGCCAGCCTCCTGTGTGCAAGAGCTCTACCTGCATGGCCTCCCGGGGTCCTCCCAAGACCTGGACGCTCACTTTCACTCTCAGCTAGAGACAGAACCTGGAGAGGCTCACCCTGTGGCAGAACAAGAGCCCAGCAAGAGTCTGACTTGAAGGTCATGGGCACAGCCAACTCGACCGCTGGACTCTTGGGAGACACCTCACTCTCAGCTAGAGACAGAACCTGGAGAGGCTCACCCTGTGGCAGAACAAGAGCCCAGCAGGAGTCTGACTTGAAGGTCATGGGCACAGCCAACTCGACCGCTGGACTCTTGGGAGACACGTGCTGGTGGACTGACCCTAGATCCACACCCCTGACTAGGCTTGTGGTGGTGGACTGACCCCAGATCCTCACTCCTGCCTAGGCATATGCTGTGCACTGCACCTTGATCCTGACCCCTGACTGAGCCTGTGCTGTGTACTGACCCTAGATCTTCATCTGTGACCAGGCTCATGCTAGTGTACAAGGACTGAATGTCCCCCCAAAACTCATTGAAGCTTGACCCCCACTGTAACAGTGCTAAGGGGGTGAGAAATCCAATTATGGTATTTGAAAGGTGGGGCCTTTAAGAGGTGATTGGACTGTGAGGACTGTGCCCTGGTGAATGGATTGACCCATTCATGGAGTGATGGGGGTGGTTCTGATGGCTTCATAAGGAGAGCCAGTGAGAAGGTCGGCTCCCACCGTCAGCCCATTTCTCTGGCCATGTGACACCCTGCATTGCTATAGGGTCACCACCAAGGAGGCGTGTCCCCTGAGCCTTGGACTTCCCAGCCTCCAAACTGTAAGAAATACATTTCATTTCTTTATAAATTACCCAGTCTCAGGTGTTCTGTTGTAAACAACAGAAAAGGGTTAATACATGTACTGACCCTAGATCCTGACCTTGACCGAGGCTGTGCTAGTTGACTGGTCCTAGATCTCCACCCCTGACTAGGCTTGTGCTAGTGTACTGCTCCTAGATCCACACTCCTGATTAGGGCTGTGTGAGCACCATGCAGCCTCCCAGGGCACAGCAAGGCTCCAGGTGGCATCCCCTCTCCTTTTCTCCTGCCTTCAGATCAATGCCGTGGAGCTTGGATGTCAGAGACACACTCTGGGGCTGTGAGCTCATGCTTGATGGTGTGTCAGTGCCCTGAACAGACGACTCTGGCTCCCAACAAGCTCCTGGTTTCTGTTTTCATCTAGGAATGAATTACATCTCAGTTTAGATCGAGTCTACTTGGTTGGTGAGTGGGGAGGCTGGGGAGGTGGGAAGATGGGCTTCTGGTTGTTTCCCACCCAAGTACCATGTCAGTGTGGCTCGGCTCAGAGGTTAATGAATGCTTCACTACTCAGAGTGTGTAAGGCCTGCGCTAGGGCCCTGGGATATAGAGAGGATAAAACACGATCTCCAGGCCAGGGAGCTATTTGCTACCCAGGATGAATGGTCAACAAATAACTGACAGTATGGAATAAAATACATCATCTAACAGCATACAGAAGATGGAAAGGCTAGCCAAGAGGTTCTACACCAGGAAATGCTCTGCAGAGAAACCAGTGCCTTCCCACAGCTGCATCGTCCAGCTTATCCCTCAGGCTCAGCAGACTCCGTGTGGCCCAGCCTCTGGGTGGGGCTGGTTCTGGAGATGGTAGTATTTGCTTTGGAATGTGTGGCCTCACCTGCAGCTCCTTGCTCCCCTTTCTGTCCTGGGACTCCTGGAGGGCCTGGAAGGGTGTTGGCCTCTCCTGGGTCACCCCTGTCCCCAGTGGGGCCTGGGAACCCCGGATCTCCATGGACATCAGCACCTGCAGTAGAGTTAAAACAGCGGCCAGTGTCAGCATCTGCCAACCATGCACAGGTGACTCTCCCAAGTGGAGGAGCAGTAGAGTGTGACACAAAAGTAGGGACACTGAAGGTGGCCCTGGCAATTCCACGTGCTCTACAGCCTCAGAGTCACAGGATCTGAGATTTGGAAGGGATTTCAAAGCTACCATAGGAGAACACCTTCACTGCATAGGTGAGAAAACTGAGCCCCTTCTGAGGGTCCAAATTCACAGAAGAACTTGGTGGTGGAGCTGGGACCCTCTCTTAATTAGGTTTTAAAAGTTAAAGCACGATTTAAAATTTTCCCTATTCACATATGGGGTGCTCGGAGCAATCGGGGGCAGCTTACTGACAACGCTTTCCCTTCCTCTGCAGTCGGACTGGAGCTGAAATGTTAATGGAAGCATGTGTGACAGAATCTACAGGTAACATGCACACAGGCAAATTTACCTGTAGTGGGTGAATATTAGGTTACCCGAAATATCTATAAAGAGAACATTCTAATAGCAGCTGAAGATTATGGGTAATTTTTTCCCTCTTGTTTAAATGTATTTAAAAATTTTTTTTCTCCACTGAACATGAATTTATAAATTGAAAACAGTAAAATTTGCCTTTTCAAAAAAGACATAATCAGTAATAAAATGATTTTCCTCTCTCTTTGCCCTATGTCCTTCAAATGTTATTTTATTAGATAAATTAAAAAGTTAAATGAAAAGACGAGGACTTTAATATTTAAGATGAAAGGACCTAATTTAACATAAAGAAGTTTCAGAGAAGCTACAGACCCTCTCTGTACTGCGCCATTTCAGCTTCTGGGAGGACAGGGTTAGAGAGAGGCTTTCTGCAGAAAATAAATCAACATCTGAGTTTCTGATGTTCTAGAAGGGGCTAATGATGCAAACCTTACTCTGCCATGGGCTTCTGGAAACAATGGGGCTTTGTATACTCTTCGGGAAGAAAATGTGGTAAAACAGTTTATAAAAGCAGCAGAAAATGCTATTAAAGGTGTCAGTTTCTTTTCCCTGTGGGACAAAAACCTTGGTATGCCCTTGCCGTGGACTGAATTGTGTGCCCCCCAAATTCGTAGGTTGAATCCCTCACCCTGAAGAGATGGTATTTGGAGGTGGGGCCTTGGGAGGTGACAGGGTTAGATGAGGTCATGAGTGTGGGGACATGTGAGGACACAGAGAGAAGCCAGGAAGTGGCCCTCCGCAGAGCCTGACCCTGCTGGCACACTCCCCCAAATTCGTAGGTTGAATCCCTCACCCTGAAGAGATGGTATTTGGAGGTGGGGCCTTGAGAGGTGACAGGGTTAGATGAGGTCATGAGTGTGGGGACACGTGAGGACACAGAGAGAAGCCAGGAAGTGGCCCTCCGCAGAGCCTGACCCTGCTGGCACACCGGCACGACTTCCAGCCTCCAGAACTGTGAGGAAGCGAGTCTCTGTTGGTGCCTCACAGCCTGCGGTACTTTGCTATGGCAACCTGAGCTGACCGTGACTGTTATCACTGCTGCAAAGAATAAGCACAGGCCTGGGGACAGCTGAGCACCGTGTCTTTCTCGTGCAATGAGATACACACTGCAAATACGGCAAGGGGTGGGTAGATATTTTGGACAACTGAGGGAACAAATGCACCCCAAATGTCCCCATTCTGCTGCTGCAGATGCAGAATATTTGTTTTTCTCTCCATCTAGAAGCCTGATGGGTCTCAACACAGTTTTTGACTTGAAGGGATGGATTTTTAGGAACACCTAGCAGTCTGCAGGACCACCAGGGACCCCAAGTCCAGCCCTGCAGGGAAGCCCCCCCTTGCTGAGACCGCCCCGTTCTCTGCAGTCTGGGATGGCACACCAGCACAGAGACTCCCCACCCCCAACACCGCTGGGTGTGATCGTGGGGCTGGGACCACCGCCGAGTACCTGGGGATCCCGGAAAGCCTTTGGTGCCGGGCAAGCCGTGTAATCCACCGATGCCTCGGATTCCCGGGAAACCTGTGAGAATGTCACTCATTGTCATAGCGAAGGGGGCTCTGACTGGGAGTAATCCTTCTGATAATTCAGACATGTTTTAATTTGCTATGATACTGTTGCCCCTGCAATTTCTGCTAATCCGCAGAGGGGACTCCTGCACCATACTCCAGCAGTGTTTCTCGAAGTGCAGCCCTGGCCCAGTGGCACTGCCTGGGAATGCATGGGAAATGCCTACTCCCAGGCCTGCCCCGACCTGCTGAATCGGAACCCAGGTGGCCAATTTCACAGCCCTGGGAGATCCTGGTGCTGCTCAGGGTTAACAGCCACTTGCCTCCTCCTCTTAAAGGCTCTGTGTCAGTAGGCACCTCCTTATTGACAGCCAAAGTAAAGGCCTCTTAAGCTTCCATCTGTACCACCCCTATGGCTTTGTCCTGGATCAACACTATAGTCTACTCCGTATCCCCCTGAGGCTACTGTAGACTGCTGTGACAGCCGCATACACAAGCTTCTAACACCCTCCGCCTGCTCTCTGCCTGCCTTCCTCTCCACCCGCCCTTCCTAATCTATGTGTTGGGCTCCATCATCCCTGATTGCTGGCACCCTCTGGGATTTCCAGAGCATCTGTTCCTCACACATATAGAAACGCCTACAAAATCCACACTTTCAGCCCCAATCATCAGCCTGAGCTTCAGACTTGTGTTTCCAACAACTTCCTGGACTGAACACCTCCGACCTGGATGGCTGCCAGGATTTCACACCAAGTCATCCAAAAACGACCTCGGAGTCTGCCCGAGCCCACTCCTCAGCCTTTGTTTCCCCTCTTGGTTAACAGCGACACCACTGAGAGTCATTGTCTACATCCTCAGTACTCACATTCCAAACATCAGAGTCCTCACCATCCCACCCAAATTATGTCAAACCTCTCCTGTGTTCTGCATCCCGCCACACCTTGGCCCAACAGTCTCACCTGTCTCCCTGCCTGTTGATCAGCCTCTGCCCTTCCACCCACAAACAAGCCATTTTCCTAATCCACAGATCAGGTCCCCTCCTCAAAAACCCTTGAGAGCTGACCATTGCCTGCAGGTGAGGTTCTGGGCCTTTCCTCCACAGCATCACAGCAGAACAGAGCTCTATGACCCTAACTGTGTGCCCTTCCCTGAGAAGACCACAGTGCTGACTAGCTGCTGTGACTCAGGCTGTTGCCACAGCCACGTGGCAGCAGCACATCTCTGGGGATGTTATCAGCTTGTGGAGGCTGCTCAGGGCTATCTATGTAAACCTGCTGACTCGAAGTGACTCTCTCCTGGCCTCCCTATAGAACAAGTGTCCCTGGGCCGGCCCGTGGCTCACTCGGGAGAGTGCGGTGCTGATAACACCAAGGCCCTGGGTTCGGATCCCATATAGGGATGGCCGGTTTGCTCACTGGGTGAGCGTGGTGCTGACAACACCAAGCCAAGGGTTGAGATCCCCTTACCGGTCATCTTTGAAAAAAAAAAAAATAACAAGTGTCCCTGCATGTCCCAGACTGGACCTTGAAGCCTCTGGGGCATCGTCTCCTTTCTTTCCCCACACTCCACCATGTAACTGAACAATTTCCCTGGAATCAATGGTAAAGACCTTTGACCTGCCCTTTGGTCTAGACACTAAGGAAGGGAGGAAGACTGGGGCTGCATGTTCCCTCTTGCCCCCATGGCAGGAGTGTCAGAACAATCCTGGTGTACAGGAGGTCCTGCTGATCCTTGATAACTATGATACCACTGGGTGGGACCCTGAGAGGAACCTCATGTCTCCAGGATTTTGCGAGGAGGCTGAGTGCTCCCCTGGCAGGGTTAGGACAGAATAAAGAAGAGCTATGGACTGTTACCCTCTACCTGGTCAATGATCTTGAAATGCCCTTGGGTATCCTGCCCGTATTCATGGAGGGTCTTCAAGGTGCTAGAAAGCTCCACGGGACAAGTCCCCACTTCTTGGTGATCACATTCAAAGGGGGGGGGGGGGGCACTAGAGAATGTACTTTCCCTCCATAGGCCCAAGGTCAAGGACCTAATGCAAACTGTCTCTTTGAGAAGCCCAGGACCAAGTGGGTCACATAGGGATCCACCCAGATCTATGTCCTCACCAGTGCATATAACTCAGCATATAATTGAGTTATAAAGCAGGCCTTAAAAAAAATAATAAATAAACTAAAAAAATAAATAAAATTTAAAAAAACAAATAAAGCAGGTCCTAAAACAACCTATTATTTTCATAGGATTCCCTGGATAAAAAAGCAAGAAAGTATGATTTCATTTTAGAAATATTCCCATTTTAGAATGTTGTCAGATTCTGAAGATTATCTAATTTCTCCAGAATGTGTTTTTATCCTGAATATTTCATTTTTTAGTGTTGATGGATATGGATGGAATGTGACTATCCTGTTGTAACCCTTATGGGGCAAATTATGTGATGTCATAGCTCGCAGTAAAAAGTGACTGTGGGTATAAACCAGAAAACAAACCAAAATGGACAAGTGTCTCCAATGGGCCTGGCCTCTAAGCTATAAAACAGGTACGGGAGGTATGTTTGCTAAGACCCATCCCTGGCTTAGTTTAATATTTTTAGATCAAAACCATTTTCTCTAAACTTAATGACCATCAGGCAAGAGTTAATACAATCACTCATTTGAATACAAGAGCATTTACCTTACACCTGATTAATTTCTTGTTTGAATGATACTGATTCTTGAAATGTAAAATAACATGAACTTTCTTGATATCAAATCCACAAATATCAGGTCCTACAAAAAAAAATATCAGCTGCTCTCAATTTCCTTCCATAATGTGTCAACATAAAATACCCATCCCCCTAACCATTTCCCTTAAATATAAGGGCACAGGAAGCTTGTATGTCCAGGAATAATCACATATTCACGTTAAGATATTTAAATGGATGGTGGCCACCTCTTTCCCCATTAGTCAGGTCACTTCTTTGGCCACCAAAGCCACCTTGGACTCAAGGGTGAACCAGCACATGAGTAAGAAAAGTAAGGTCTAACAGTCTAACAAATGTCCCCCAGTCTGAAGCTCTGACAGTTCACCTGTGACCCGGTGAGGGGTGCAGGTTTCAGAGCTGGAGACTAGCTGTAATCCAATCCCAACTCTCATTCACTGTGCCGGGACATTTGGTAACTACATGGCCTCCCTGTGCCTCGGTGTCCTGGTGTACAAAATGAGGACGTTAAATTTTGACTTCACAAAGCTATTGTGACAATGAAATAGGCTAACATTGGCAAATCGTTTACTAAGACAAAGCTTAATACTTGTTGCTATTACATTATTATTATTATATTATTATTATTATTGATATATTATTAATATAATATGATGATGATGATGATACTCCAAGACAACACATATGTCCTTTTTTTTTTTTTTTTAAAGATGACCAATAAGGGGATCTTAACCCTTGACTTGGTGCCATCAGCACTACACTCTCCCAAGTGAGCCACAGGCCGACCCTATTTTTTTTTTTTTCATTGTTTTATTGACTTGTCTTTTAAGTCATATGGATAAGAGGTGTTACAAACCAAAAATTCAATAATAATTGATTTTATATTTATCTATTTAGCATTCTTTAAACAGTTATTTTTTAAAATTTATTCCTTATATGACTTCAAGTTTCTATCTAGAGTTCTTTCATCTTAGCCTAAAGTCTCTTTAGTGTTTCTCAAACCTCAGGTCTACTAGCAATAAACTCTCAAAGCTCTCACGTTCTGAGAATATTTTATTTTGTTCTTAATTTTTTTTTTTTTTTTTCCTTTTTGAGACCGGCTGAGTGCAGTGAGCGCACCGGTCATCCTTATATAGGATCCGAACCCGCGGCGGGAGCGCTGCTGCGCTCCCAGCGCCGCACCGCACTCTCCCGAGTGCGCCACGGGCTCGGCACTTGTTCTTCATTTTTGAAGGATAGTTTTGGCAAATATAGAATGTATAGACATACGTTCTTAATGATAACTTTACATCATAAGCAAAAGAGAGGTTATGATTTGTACGTAGGTTCTGATCAACTGTACAGTCTGGAGAGTACCATTCAAAAGTTAAGGATTTTTAAATTGGCACTTAGAAGGTTAAGTTTCAGTCACTAAAAAACAGAATGTTATAGGACACGCTACGCCCCAGATGGGGCCAGATAAGAGACTATGGAGTTCGGAATGTGCTAAACAAGGTTTACAGGTTATCTGGAAAATTCATCAAACCTTCTGAAGATGTTTGGAATCACCCTCCTCTGGCTTTACTGACATTAAGCCTTAAGAATGCACGAAAGCATCCCAGTGTCTTTCTGTCTTCAGTGGAATTCCACTACATCCACTGACCTGGGCACCCACCCCTGGGGATTCTGAGGCAATCCCAGTGTAAACACCAGCAGATGACTGTGACCTCTTCCAGATGCCACTTCAGCTCCAAAGGAGCTTGCAGCAGCAACCCTCCAGAACCAACAGTAGAGATCCAGGCTGCCTGTAGTTACTTTAAGAATATTATCAATTTGCCAGAAGTAGGTGCTACACTGAACTTGGAAATGACGGTCTGTGGAATTGACAAAGAACACTGGCTCTGTCTCCCAGCAGAGTTCTCGAAGGACACGTGTGTGTGTAACTTCTTTTTGTCATCACTGGAAAATATCCCAGTTCAATTTTTAAAACAAAGACTATGGTATGTGAACTATTTCTATGAAAGTCTACTTCCTCACGATTGAAACATGCAATTTTTTTCCTTCAAAATTGTTCAGAATTTCCCTCTCTATTCCTAAGCATCTACATGCTTTGAATATTTAATTAAGCTTCAGAACACATGCAGAATTGGCCAGAAAATGTGGACATTCTTTTTTTTTTCTTTGTTTTATTAAATGATGTCCTTTGAATCATACTGGGCATTCTCCTATAACAGCAATAATAAAATACTTATGCACGTAATGATTTCTGTAAGAAAATGCAGTGGACAAATGGGCTCTGAAGTCAGGCTGACCTGACTTTGGGCAAGTAGTTTCATCTCTCTGAGCCTCAGTTTCCTTGTTTGCAAAATGGGGCTATGTTACCTATTTCTTGGGTTTTTTTTTTTTTTTTTTTTAAAGATGACCGGTAAGGGGATCTTAACCCTCGACTTGGTGTTGTCAGCACCACGCTCACCCAGTGAGCGAACCGGCCATCCCTATATGGGATCCGAACCCGTGGCCTTGGTGTTATCAGCACCGCACTCTACCGAGTGAGCCACAGGCCGGCCCTATTTCTTGGGTTTTATGCATAACCTGAGACTGTGAATTTAAGTCCCCTGGCAAGGGCCCAATAAAATCATGCTTCTCTTCTCTTCCAACACCCCACCCCTCAGCAAGCTCCTCTCACATGAAAGGCTGGAGCTGAGACATTTCCAGGAAGTGATCTAACAATGACAGAGTGGGTCTGAGTACAATGGAACTGATTTTGAGTTAAAAACAGATAATACCAAAAATTTATTTTAATCGTTTTTTTTTTCACTCCAAAGTGTGTTTCTTTGCAATTCAGACGTAGCAGACATATGCTATATATAATTAAAAGTAGTATTTCTGGCAGATATTTTTGGTGATTTTGTTTACCAAGCCTAACAATCGAATATTTGTGAAATCATCTAATTCAAAAGATGTTTTTCCCTGATATCTCTGCCATCCTGTTTTAAGAGAATAATGATAATAACCCAAACCAAGACACTTTAATATCTTTTAAAGTCAAAATAAGCACCTTTTCCATTCCAGATTTTAAATTTAAGAGTAAATGCAAGGCATGGCAGAGTAGAAAAAGTCTGAGGGCTGGCCTGTGGCTCACTTGGGAGAGCATGGTGCTGACAACACCAAGGGGTTAAGATCCCCTTACCAGTTATCTTTAAAAAGAAAAAGAAAAGAAAAACTCTGGGCAGGGGTCAGGATTATCGAGTTGGTGGAGACTTTGCATCTATCTAATGCTATGGCCTTGCAGAAGTCCATTTGATGTCTACAATGACTGACTGGGATTACAGCTAAATTTAATAAGCAATCTAATACCTAACACCTAATAAAACAGAAAAAATACTAATGTTCCTTCTACTTCTAAGGCGGATTCTAAATAACGGTATGACCAGCAGTGTATATACAAACATAAGAATAGTATAGTCAGGCAGCAGAAGCCTGATCCCGATCACGATCAATTCAGAGATAAGCATGGAAATCCTAGACGAGGGAGAAAAATTCTGCAAGCCATCCATGTCAGGAGACAAGAGAAAAGAATTTTGAAGAATGACTCCCACATTTGGGTTCTGAATGGATATTTGTGAAGTACATTAATTCTTAAATTAATCCACTCACTTCAGTTATGTCTATTTCTTATTGCCCAATGCGGTCCCTTCCCAGTTTCCACTCAAATTTTAATCAAATATACCTGGTGTCAGGAGACATTTTATATTTTCCAGGGATCCATGGCTTTTTCTGTAAAGGGCCTGATAGTAAATATTTTTGGCTTTGTGGGCCTGATGGTGTCTGTTGCAATGACTTGACTCTGCCACTGCTGGTGGAATGCAGCCACAGACAACATGTAAACAAATGGAGAGTGGCTGTGTTCCTGTAAGACTTCATTTGTGGACACTGGAACTTAAATTTCATATAATTTTCATGTGTTAAAGAACATTATCTTTGTTCTGACTTTTTTCTGACCACTTAAAAATGTAAAAACCATTCGTAGTTTACAAACACAGGCGGTGGGCCTATTTGGCACATGGCCAAGGATTACTAACTCCTGATAAATTCAAAACATGGGAGCTACATTAATATAGTATAAATAACTTTTTCAGAAGCTCAGTAGAATAGTAAAGTTGCCTTTTTATAATATTAATTAGGTTTAACAGTGCTAAAAATTTCGGGTCATATATACTCAATACTACTACCCTAGCTGTGTTAGTAAAGTCTAAAGATCATACGAGGTGGAAGGGTTTTCAAAGTCACTAGAAATGGTTGTGATGTACTATCTGAACTCACCAAACATAATATAGTACGGCGACTTTCCATTCAGGTTCTTCTGATCCACGTCTGCAGGGAAGACCTTAATGTACCCCCCTCCGCAGTCCATCTTCTGCTCATGTTTTACTGTGTACTGAATGATCAGAGTCTTCCCTTTGTTGCTAAATGGTTTGAAGCTTGCAGAGATGGCATAGAAGCGGCCATTCTGAGTAGTTTGCAGACCTTTACACAAAATGTACTCATGAGGGATTAGGAATGATATTGCATTCAATAATGCAGGGGACTTAAACTGATGTCCTTCCCTCACTCCCAACAATAAATGTCTTAACCATTTACATTGAGCCAATGCTTATAGTGCATTTATGTAATAATGAGCACACTACTAACAGGCCCTCTGCTCCCACAGAACTTCTATTTCACACATCTGGATGTTTTTGTACTTATACCATTGTTATTAGCTACAAAAACACTTCAACTCTAAATGACAAATACACAATCTAATTATGGATAAAAAGTTAATTTTGTTTCCCTTCATCTTCTAAGGGGTGGGAACATACAATGAAGTTTGTGTAGCAACTGAACAAAAACTGGAACACTCTTTCTTTTCCTTAATTCTCATCATAAAACAGCTATTTCAGAGACACAGCAGGTGCTGATGAGAGCATGCCTGACGTGGCACTGATCTGTAACAATATGCTTCATTGCACTGCTTGAGCTGCTCTGCTGATGTCATCTTTTTATGAAAACACCAACTTTTCCTCATGAGCAGCTCTTTTCTGTTTATGTGTTCACTTTGAGATCAAACCTCCCTTTCTCAGTAGCCACTAGGCTCAGTCCCAAATCCTTTTCTTACACAGGAGTTTGTCAGACAAACCTGAAGATAGAACCATTTTTTTTAAGGACCATTCTTATTAAAACCTACCCTATGCCATCATCAATGAAGTTGGCATTTGGTATCCATGTGTCCAAGCCTGAACTCATGGCTGATTCCCACTACCACATCTCTCTCTCCCCACTCCATTCTTCTCCCACCTTGCCCTTTCACAGGGGATTCGGATCCCCGAGCCCCCACCATCCCCCACCATCCCCCACCATCAAGGCAATTCTGAAGGTCATATGATTCTCCACCTCCCTCTGTCTTGCCACCCTCCGTGGCCACCCCCATTTTCTTCCACCACCTCCCATCTCTGTCTGACTAAATTCGACTCGTCTTTCCATTCATGGCTTCTATGTCCTGGTATCAGGAGACCAGAAGGGAAGGGGCCATATTAACTGGTATCCCCAGTACCTTGCCTGTGTCTGCTCTCTGTAAATATGTGCTGAAGGAAAAAATGAAATGCACAGAATTTCAGGATTCCAAATTGGAGGAGGGAAAAACACTGGGGGCGGGGGGGACCGCAAAGACGCTAAGTGGAATGCCCTGTCCTTGAGCAAGTATCCTGGAATAACCTGTTTAATGTCATTCCATTTTTTTTTTTTTAAAAAAGATGACCGGTAAGGGGATCTCAACCCTTGGCTTGGTGTTGTCAGCACCATGCTCAGCCAGTGAGCAAACCGGCCATCCCTATACAGGATCCGAACCCGCAGCCTTGGTGTTATCAGCACCGCACTCTACCGAGTGAGCCACGGGGCGGCCTTAATGTCATTCCATTTTTGTCATATACCTATACTCTAAATTTTTACCAACTGTTTGGGTCAACATGTATCTTACAAAACAATGCATATATAATCCAAAGCCAGAATCTTCTAGACTCGGGGCAACACTGGAGCAACAGGGCCAAGATGGAGATTAAGTGGATGGTGGGGAAGAAGGAAACTTTTCACCTAAATCAGGGTCCACAAACCTTTTCTGTAAAGCTAGATAGTAAATATTTAGATTTGTGGGCCATTCGGTGTCTGTCCCAATTACTCTACACTGCCTCTGCAGCATAGACACAGCCATAGACAATATGGAAACGAATGGGAATGGCTGTGTTCCAATAAAACTCTATTTATGGGCACTAAACTTTCATACATTTCACTAGATTTTACAAAATTTTTACATGTCACAAAACACTACTCTTCTTTTGGTTTTTTTCCCCAACAAAAAATATAAAAACTGATGGCTGGCCAGTTAGCTCAATCTCTAGTGTGTGAGGCTGATAACACCAAGGTCAAGGGTTAGGATACCCCTACCAACCGTCAAAAAAATAAAAATAAAAATAAATAAATAAATAAAAACCACTCTCAGGTCGCTGGCTGTACAAAAAGATAGACTAGCTGTAGTGCATCCACCTTGGACAATCAGACATAAGAAGCAGCCAGAATAGATATTATCCTTGGGTCAGGAGAAATTAGGGTGGGATGGGGAGCACTCAAAGGAAGCCTATTGCAGGGAGAGCTGAAAATATCCCGTATCTTGACCTGGGTGTACAGATGTGAAAAGTCATTGTGTTGGAATCCTAAGATTTGTGCAGTTGACAGCAAGCCACTTTTACCTCCATTTTTTCCTTTACAGTGTAAAAATAAAAATGAGAGGAAGTATCTATCCTCCAACCGTTTTCCCTCTGTGAGGCAAGACCCTAGGGTCCCCGAGCTCATTTTACTGCTTATGTAGTGGGGTGACCTTGGACAATAAAGGAGAGAGAGAAAAAAACAAGGCAAGGAAGTCTACTTGTCCCTTAATGTCCTCGCCCATAAAATGAGTTGGGGGTATGTCACACCTGTCTTGGAAGGTCGCTACGGGGTTTACATTTGACTCGATTTTCTCCTGATTCTACACTAACCTTTGTCTTTCTCTTTGTGGCCATAAAACTTCCCCGATGAGAGTCTAAAATGCCCAAATTGGGAATCATTGATGGACTGCACCCATCGGTTCCTCCAGCGTTCTGTTGGGGGAAAACAAGGCAGGTCAGAGCTGAAAACTGTGAATGTGGGTCAAGGGGAGGTGACAGTGGCCCTCGAGGCTCCGCCACCGTCGACCCCGCGAAGACGGGCCCGGGGACAACGGCGACCCCGGCCATCCCTTGGGCAGCGGGGCCTGGGGAAGCTGACGCCCCCACCACCACAGGCGTCAACGCCTTCACCTCCGTCGAGAAACTCCTCCTGGAAGTAGACGGTGGCCAGCGCCACCCGCAGCACGCAGAGGGCCCACAGCGGGACGCGAGCCCGGGACATGGTGGCGTGCGCGGCGCTTCTTCCCGTAACCACACCTCGCCTCCCGGCGGTCCCTGCGGCTCGCCTGGCACTCTCAAGAACTACAACTCCCGTCACGCCTCGCGATTGTGACCCGAGACACCATTGGTTTCCGGCAAACGATGCATGCCAGGCCTGCCTAGGAACTACTGCTCCCATGATGCCTCGCGATTGTGACCTCGAGGGCCATTGGCCCGCGGAGCGCGATGCGCGCCGGGAGATGTAGTCTCTTCCGCCCTGGCGCGGTTGCCTGGCGCAACGGTCCTCTTTGGCTTGTGTGCCTGTCCGGAGCGCGACTGTGGCCTTCGCTGAGGGGACAGCGTAGGTGAGGTCTGTGGAGCTTGTGGGGCGCCCGGGCTGGCGAGAAGGGGACTGGGGTGCTCCCCGGGGTTGGGCCAGTCGGACGGCTGGAGGGCGGCCCTGCGCCTCAGTTTCCCTGTCTGGGGGCCACGGAGCGTGGTCCGGTGCGGGTCGCTCCAAGGCTAGGGAAGGGAGTCCGCTAGTTTGAGGGGCGACAGTGTCCTCAAAGTTTGGTTTATTTATTTTAGATAACTTTGCTGAGGTATCATTTACCTACCATAACACCCCATTTAAGCGTAGGACCCCATTATTTTTTAGTAAATTTACAATGTTGTGCAACCACTACCACAATCCAGCGTTAGAACTTTTCTGTCACCCGAGGAGATGAAGCGTCCTGTGCCTTTCTTTGCAGCTGATCCCCGCTGCCAGTCCCAGTCCCAGGCAACCACTGATCTGCTTTCTTTTCTTTCTTTCTTTTTTTTTTTT